CTCTGCGAGTTCTAGGATATTACTGATTCTGGGGCCACGTCTCCGGTTTCTTTGACGTGTTTTTGTTTGTTTGTTTGGTTATTTATTTAACACTGAATTTCACTTTCGCAGATTTCCCTCAATTTTATATATGTGTCCTGTTGGGTTGATTTTCGGACGAACTTCTACTGCTATTCTTTGAAATGAGATGCTTATATAAATAGTCTCCCGTCGGAGGTGAGGGAATCTGCCTCTTACAGCCAGTTTAGACAGAGGTGCAGGGCCCACATACTGTCCACCCGCCATCATCAGAAGTACCGAAGGCTAGGTGACCGACAGAACAACATCCTCACCACGAGACTACGTCTTGACTGGTCCCAGCTCAACTCTACCCTCGCCAAGTTCAAACTCACCTCTCGGAGCTGCAGCTGTGGAGCCACGTCTGAGACGGTCGCACACTTTCTCCTCAGCTGCCCTCTGTACGAGGACGCACGGCAAATACTTGCCACCGAAGTACGTCGCCTGACAGATCGACCCCTCTCTACAAACATCCTTCTCAACGGTTATCCAGGTCACGACCCTCTTACAGATCAAAACCTTTCGGCCGCTCTTCACACTTACATTTCATCAACAAACCGATTCTAATTACATAACTCATAGTCCTTCCATCTATTCCTACAACATTGTAAATATTGAAAATAATATATGTTTGTAAATATTATATATTTTGAATGACCTCTGGCCTCCTACCATACTGATTTATTATTACTTTTTTGTATACAATGCATTAGCCTAGGTTATGGATTGTAGGGTATGTGATTCGTTACTTTATTGTGTTATGTATGTATGTATTTCACAATGTGGGGCCCGACATCAGCTCAGCTGCCAGGGCTTCCACTGTATTGCACTGTATTGTTTGCAATTTAAATAAATAAATAAAAAATATTTGGAGACCTCGGCACGTCACATTCGGCCGCAGAACAACAATGATGGCGATAATTATCGTAGCGTTTTCTCTCTGCTGCTGTGCGATAGATAGATATTTCAGAGCACTTTTGTGGACCGGAATCATATATAATATCCATATTTAAATTATGTGGCTGTAAGATGAAATTATGGATATTTTGCTCGGTAAGTTATTTTTTCATAAATAGTTGTAGATGTCGTCGTTCAAATTACGAGGCCGTAGATCTACCGTTCTCATTTTTTTGTCGTACCGTCCCTGCTTTTTAAGGATCTATCAGTTCTTTGGAAGGCGAGACCGACTCTTGGACTCTTTGTGTATATTTGTGGCGATCTCTGGATCGATTTATTTAGGTTGACCTACCGACAGATTTGGCGCAACTTTGCCAATTTTCACACCAGCCACTACTAGCATCGCTGAATCAGTCCTCGGTGTGACCTAGCCGTGGCGACTCTTTGATCAACCGTGATTTTTTTTACCTCCATGGTGTGACCAAAGAGGGTTAGACAAAAAAGACACAACTGACGTTCGTACAGTACCACGCGCTTACGGCAAACCACACACACGAGTTGAATGTCGCCCTCGTAGGGTATATCATGATATCAGGCCTAGGCAGGTCACCGGGAACGTACCGCGCACGTGGGCCGGCCTTGTGTATGGGCGCGTGCCGGCGGCTTCAGCCAAAACAAAACAAAGCACCAAGCCGTCGCTTGTCTCCAAAAATAGACAGAACCGTACAGCGCGACTTAGCACCCTCGTTTATTGGGGGCAATTGTGAAAATCTTTTGTTACAAATTATTCGAATTATTTCGAACAATGCGACAATTGGATGCACAATTCAAACATTTTAGAAATAAATAAGTTTATTCGTATTTACTTTCGAAATAATGCTCAAATATTGTAACAATTTTGAAAATGTTCGATTTTTTTCTGGCAATTCTTCGAAAGGTTTAAAACCTTGTGGCTTTAATTGTCTTTATTTTGAAGTAATTCAAAAGTGTTAGAAACATGTAGGAAAAACCCGCGCGGTGACGCGGAATTGACTCTATCTGTACCTTTGATTCTCTTTTGTTTATGTATAATTTATTGAATCGGTGTCGTATAAGCCCACACGGGCTGGGCGCGGGATAGCGCACGACACGGAAATAAAGTCTCATTCATTCATTCATTCATTCATATAACACAGCCTACAAATTAAAGGTAACAATGCTAGTTGATATCAAGGCTATTTTGTATGACGTATAATGCACAGAAAGGAAAGAATATAGGCATTTAATTCTATCCGTGTATTGTATTTGTTTGTAATCATGCTTCTGTTCGTGTTCAGGTAAAGCTCGCCAATACCTCATATTGTTATCTGAACATTGGTTTTTAAATACATTTTACATAGATAAAGTGTGCAGCATGCGACGAGACCCACTTGAGGAAGGACATGGCACAACACATGGACATCTGCGGGGAAGTAGACGTAGAGTGCAGAGACTGTGGAAACACAACAAAAAGAAGCGGACTAGAGGACCATGTAGACAACAGGTGCCCTAAAAGAAGAATCCAATGTCCCCTCCTTTGTGGAAGGGAATGTACCAGGTGAACGTTTGACTCATGATTTCATGATGTAAAACACTTAATGTTAAACCCACTATGTGCGCTCCGATATCCCCCATTACCAAACAGAAGACATCGAGCGTGAAGACTATGTCACAATAATGTTCTGTCATAAAATGGACGTCGAAATCGGAAGGTGTAGTAAGATTGCGTAATCATCTACCACACCTGAATTCCGTCTCTTCGTTGTGATCTTCCCATCGAACGACACCTCTCACGACTGAATCAGCATTTTACACAAGACAATTCGTTACGGAAAAATCAAAAGTATCCTTTAATTACGGTTTTGTGGCATGAATGAGCAGTCGAGTTGAAGACTTCTATGCGTTTAAAAATGAAATGCTCATCTCGTTTAGGAGACAAATGGGACACCACATCCTGACAGAATGCAGGAGAAGGTGGGAGGAATGCCACATACCCGGCTGTGGCGCCGTCACCCAGGACCAACTGGAGCACGAGAGGCAGGAGGTCACCACCCACAATTTCCTGCTGCGTCAGGTGAAGTTGGTTCAAAAATATTTCTTTGACTTGGTTCCTCATTGTTTCCGATGCTATGATATATCATCTTAGTAATCCAATTCTTTTGTCAATATATTGGTGTTTTTTAATATAACAAATACAACTAATAACATTACGAACAACAATGAAGCCTGAAAATGCACTCAGTGTTCATTCGTGCTAACTTAAATACCAATTACGATTACAGACAAGGTGAATGCAAGTCTGAATGAAGTTGTTTTACCTATTATTTGGCTTAACGCTGCCGGATCAGCTCAAATCCGGGACTGCTCAAATTGTGCTCAAATCACAAAGTATCTAAGCTCAAGTTGTGCTGCTATTCCAGGTCGGGGCACGTGGCGATGGGGAGCACATGGTGCATGGCCCCCTGCACAGCTTGCAGTGGGCGGTGGCCGACCCAACACGACCCGTGAGGTCACCTACCTTCATCACCAGTGGGAACCGTACGTGGGAGGCCATGGCGGTCCCACCCAGCAGAGGCGTGCCCTGGTGTGTGTGCCTCCGACTGGTAGCAGGACCACCTGCGCTGGCAAAAATCAGGTCAGTATATAAACGTTACACATAGAATACAACTGGAATACACCATGTTGTATTTCATTTATGTCATACCCACCTAGCTTGGTTACCAAACCTATTATAGCTCCCGAGTCCTACATCCTATAGAGTACTCGGGAGCTATAATAGGTTTGGTAACCAGGCTAATACCCAACCAAGGAAACACGCCTTTCGATGTAAAATGAGCCGAATTCTACATCTACTAAGCCGAAATTTATACCCTAAACTAAAAACAAATGGGAGTTATTGTTTCTGTTTACAATCTTTCCATATTAAAATCATATGTCTTCCCCCACAGGATCAAAATGTCGGCTGCCGATCAGGAAGCAGTTGTAGGCTGCACAGCTGCCATACTGCCAGGTGCCAGTGGGAAGAAGTGGGACTTGCAAAACATAACGAACACTAGCAACATCCGTATCCACATTCTTATTCAACACTAAACCCACGCAACAAAAGGACAGCGACTTTCGTATGGTCTAAAACTACATGTAGATATACAAATACATGGGTGCAATGAAATTAACATACGTACAAAACAGTAGATGAGAGTCAACTAATACTACTTGTTCTAAGGTCTAAACATTCTTTGATATATTTACCTAATTCTATATTCAATTTATGGCTAGAAATTCTCATCTTTGTAATCGATCTACGAACTTGAAAATTGTGTATTTCAGAAAGGTAATTTTCTTGTCCGTACCTCTTTCTTAACATCGAATAGACAGAAAGTTTTGAATTGTTTTGAATAGAAGTATGATATTCTTGTATGTAAATATTATGTAAACGACGTCGTAATTGATCTGTAAACATGTCAACGTGACACAACCTGGCGTTTGTCCATACATATCCAAAACCGTTCTAATTGAGAATGTCGTGTACATGATTTACCCACTCAGAGTCAGCGGAATGTAAAATGTTGATTGCCTCGTCTTCGGGTAAATTTTCTAAACGGTGCCAGTATTTTATAAGTTTTAATTTGGCATCAATCATGACGGGAAATATTCCCAATTCGCCGCGAATGCCGTCATTTGATGATTTGGAATTCACACCTAGTAGAACTTTCTGGAAATTCATGTCAATAATATCAAATTCTGTGATTTGTTGAGGAAGATGCACATTTCCAATTGCAAAGTTGTCTTTTTCTAATTTACATGTAAGGCCAGACGTAAGCCTTAGTAATTTATCATTGTCAGACTTTTTCTTAAAATGAATCACGTAAGAGTGAGTGGAGTCAGAACTCACACTCTTTCTTATAGTTGCAGGTAGACAGTCATTCAAGTCAAGTTGATTCAGAAGTATAGATAAGACATTTTAGGCCAAGATTCTGGAATTCTTTTGGATACAATGACTAATTGAATAAGCTTTTGCCTAAAGGAATTGGGATATTTTTTTCAGAGAATAGAAGTGATTTAAGCTTAAAGTGCTCTCATATAGCTTTCGTCTTTAAAAATTTTCTAGCTGTTTTAAATTTGCCCGAAGACATCAGTGGTACGCCAAGAAAGTATAGCTGTCAGTTACTTCTGTTTCTTTACCTTGTATATAGAATTTGTTACATAATTAGCACTTCCGTTTTAAATTCACACGCAATTTCCAGTTGTTACAATACGCTTCTAATTTATTAATACAGTTCTGAAGCCCCTTTTCAGACAAAGAAATTAGAGCAAGGTATCTGCCAAAGACAAGCAGTTAAGCGAAGAAGCAGCGCCACATTCATTATAATCAAAACATTGAGGTAGGTCATTGATAAACAGATTGAATAACAATGGGGTGATATTACAACCGCGTCTTACGCCGTTTACATTGTTTGATAAGTCTTTTATAGTCTCTCAATGTCGAAAAATACTTAGTTCTAGATTCTTGTAACCAAGGTTCTTTCTTTAGATCTTTAGATTTTTTTAATCGCTGACGTAAAGACCAACAATGTTGGTCGAACCACCCTTTGCTCTTTTTTACTTGTGTTGTTTTCTTGTTTTGTCTTTTACCTGTACGCTTTATCCTTAGGGACTAATTTGCTACATCTAATAAAATTTCCGTAAAGTTTGTTACGGCCTCTTCCTTTCTCTAGTATCTTGATTAAGAATTTTTATTCAACGTAGTCAAAATACTAAAAGTATTACTGAAAAATACTCTGTTTCTGTGTATGTCATGATATCCCAGTGCAAATTGAGCGTATCTTCTGTGTCTTCCTTTAATATAGGCTGTTTGATTGTGATTGGTTGATGTTGACAGAAAAGGCTTTAATCTGTTCGCCGATTATCAATGCTGTTGTTTTCCCCGCCCTTGTGCAATACTTTAAGGATAGCTATTCTTAGATATAGATAGCCCCCACCCCCTTTTTACGCCTTCGCTATTTAAGTTATCCGTGTTAAAGAGGAAGGTTGGACTATAAAACCACCCAATAAATTCGGGTACTGTAAACTCTCACAGCTCATTCTGCAACTGGCAGCCGTGGTGAACACATGGGGAGAGCTAGGCTGAGATAGTATACCAAGTACACCTCTTCAACATTATGTGGAGACATGGATATGTACATGAAAAGTACATATAATATTTTACTAAACAACAAGAATATAGACTAATAACTACACAGGCATGTACTATGCCAATCCTGGTAAACTGGGACTTCA